TTAATGTATTCTGTCGACGGTCTTGAGATAAGTCGGTTGGTTATACCCCCCGACATTACCCGACGACCATTATACCCAGGTTCGGGCTCATTCCCCTGTGACCTCTATACGCAGGTTCCGGCTCGTTCCCCTGCGACCTCTATATATGCAGGTTCCGACTTGTTCCCCTGCGACCTCTATACGCAGGTTCCGCCTCGTTTCAGGGCGACCTGAAAACGTACCTCCTACGTCAGCGCGACGCCGTCGCGGCGACCTCTATACGCAGGTTCCAGCTCGTTCCCCTGGGACCTCTATACGCAGGTTCCGACTCGTTTCAGGGCGACCTGAAGACATACCTACTGCGTCATAGCGACGCCGCGGCCGACGACTCGGTCCTGCGACGCGGCCTGCTGCTCAAGATGGCGTGCGACGTCGCCGCGGGGATGCAGCACGTGCACGAGCGAGGCTTCGCTCACCCCGACCTCGCCGCGCGCTCCTGCCTCGTCGCCGGCGACCTCACGGTCAAGGTCGGCGACTACGGCATCTCGCAGGACAAGTACAAGGTGAGGGGGGGCGGGGCTGGGTCGCCGCGGCGACAGGGAGGGGAAGGTTCTCGGGGGTGGGCGGGGTTGCCGCGGCGACGGGGTAATGAAGGGAGGGGGTCGGCCCTCGGAGAGATGTTGGGAAGACGCCTCAAGATCGTATTTCGATAATCACGAGAATGCGCGACGCTTTGTGCGACACCCCCGCGGGTCGGAGTCAAAGTGGGGGTTGGGGTGCAACTGTGACGGGGAGGGGGAGGGGGAGGGAGAGGGTTTTCGGGGGGGGGGGCATGACGAACTGCCGCCTCGAACACACGTCTGCGGTTTTTTCGTCGGGCGAAGCGTTATTTTGCGAAACGGGAATTACGATTTCGATAAAAAAATTACGAGCATGTTCGCCTGTTTTCCTCGCTCGCCAGGCGACCCAATACGCGCGCAGTGTCCGCGACGTTGTCCCGGGCGCACGTGGATGCGCGCTTGTTTTCCTCACTCGCTGAGCATCGCGAACTCGCACTTGTTTTCCTCGCTCACTGGGCGTCGCGATGCGAGTTTGCTTTTTCTTCGACGTTTCCCCGGGCGGACGTGAATGCACGCTTGTTTTTCCTTGTTCGCTGAGCGTAGCGAACGCACGCTTGTTTTTTCTCGCTCGCAGGGCGACTACTACAACGTCGGGGACTTTGCCGTGCCGATCCGCTGGTGTGCGCCGGAAACTCTCAGCTGCTCCGAGTATATCGTTGGGCAGGCGGGGCGAGGTGGACGAAGGAAGCCAACGTGTGGTTGGGGTATACCTCCTCCTCCCGTTACAACACGCGGGCTGGGAGGGGAAGGCGCCGAGCCAAGAGACGAAAAGTTAATGTTAAGAATAAACTTTAACTCCGTGATTCTTGGTTTTCTGACTGATTATATGTGTGTAATGTTATGTATTTGTATATATATATAATATATATTATATTATACATACAATACAATAACAATGACATACATACACACTATATATATGATATAATTTTTTTTTTTTTATGAATAATAATATAGAAATTAATATATATTATAGTAACTAAATATAATATACATATATATGAAATGTATACACTTAATACCCATACATAATATATAAATGTATTGCAGGTCGTTTGGCGTGGGCTGAGCTATGGGAGGCTTTGATGGAGTTTTGTGAGCCCAGCCTTACTCCCTCCCTCCAACTCAGAGGTCATCCAGACAGGTCACTCGTAAGAGAGAAGTCCCTACAAGCTACCCATCCCTAACAGAGACAAAGCACGCACAGCAACAAAGTTGTGGGGGAGTGGTAGCAACTTGATATCATATGTCAATATACATCAAGAGGCTAAACTAATACCTAGAGTGTTACAACCGGAAAACCCAACGGGAAAATAGTGCTGATTTCACGACCATGATTATTCTACATTTTTGCCTGCAAGTCCTAGAATAATTTTTATGGCTACTGCAATTAAGCCAGAAATTCTTTCTCGTCTAAAAACAAAGACCACACCGCTTGTCAATACAATACTCCCTAGGCTGGGATATTTGGCTTCCTAATAACCTCCCCTCCCACAGGCATCACAGCGCCTCTCGAATCACATCAGTTTTAGCAACCTTAACACGCCTCTAAGCCATTTCCGGCTATGGGTTTTCCGTCACCGCTTGGAGCGGCTGGATAATTTTGATGTCAAATGCCCAAATTTTTTGGTATCTCTTACTAACCACCATATAGTACTTGAGCCTGCGTTGTAAAAAACTTAAATTAGAAAAAACATTGGCCGGCTCCATCATGACGGGCAAATTAGCCCGTGCTAGAAAAGATAATGGGGAGATAAGGGCAATAGGCCGATAGCCCCGAAAAAGTCCACCTAGAAATAAACGAAAATGCCGTTCATGTCATAAAGTTATGGCGGAAATACTCGAACTTCTCCACGGAAGACAACTTAAGAGGCCGTGTAGGTTGCCTGACTGACTCGTGGAAATTCGAGGCGCTGTGATGCCCTGTGGGAGGGGAGGTTTTTCGGAGCCAATATTCGCCTAGGAGTATTGTATTGAACAAAGCGGTTTGGTCTTTGTTTAGAGAAGGGCAAG